TGGTAGTGGTCATGGGTTTGGAAGGTGCTGTCTAGAAACCTCAGTGAATCTCTGCAGTCCATCTTCTAGATGGTACATGCTGCTAGACCGCATCATCGATGGAGGGAATAAATGATTGCAGATGTAGTGCCAGTCAAATGAGCTGCTATGTATCCTGTTAATTATTCGCTTACAATGTGTATATCTACTTTGTTGAAAACATTTGTGTGAATCTTGGGCATGAATTAAGCCATAATCGAAAAGGTAACACGACAGTACAGTACAGAATTTTATTTCAAGATCATAATAACTTATCCAGAATTGGAGTCAAGAATCACTGAGTAATCAAGAAATTGAGAGTATCAAAACAAAACAGAGAGCAAATGTTGCTTCTTTTAATGGTAACCAGTGATAGTTGACAAATTAAACATCAAAGCATGTCAAAACTAGGAGGTGGAACCAATTCAGGGCTCATATAAGGTGGAAATTATTACTAATTATTTGATAAAGTAAATTCATTATCATATGATATGTTAAACAGAATAGTGAAATTATGTGGCAAATTATCCTTGAGATTCAACTGTGCACTGTTTGTCTGTCAGGTGTTAAATGACTTCCTATGCCAGGAAGGATGAGCGTGTTCATTATAAGCTATCACAGGTAAAAATAAACAGGGCATCCAGATTCTTGCAGGCACTGACCCTGTTGCTAGTTCAACCATAACAACAAGTCAACCACAACAGTACAAGTCAGTTTTGTTGACCTTGATGATCACTTATTTGAAGCACCCTCTATGAAATTGGGTTCTCCTGATCGAAGGTGGCACCATGTGACCTAAAAGCAGTCCTTTAAGGAACGAATATATGCTGCAACTGAGAAAGTTACCGTTTAAAATACTATTACCTGATTTCATAGAATCCCGATAGTGCGGAAAGAGGCCATTTGGCTTATCAAATCTATGCCATCCCTCAAAGACCATCCCAACAAGACCCAGCACCCATCCTATTCCATTCATCCAATGGCTAACCCACCTAGCCTGTACATCCCTGGACACCATGGGGCAATTTAACATGACTAACCCACCTAACCTATGCATCTTTGGAATGTGGGAGGAAACTGGAGCACCTTTAGGAAACCCATGCAGACACAAGGAGTGTATGCAAACTGCACACAGGCAGTTGCCCAAGGCTGGAATCAAACCCAGATTCCCGGCACTGTGAGACAACAGTACTTCTTTTTTCGTTATTCATTCATGAGATGAGGACGTCACTGACCAGGCAGCATTTATTGCCCATCCCTAATTGCCTAGAGGGCAGTTAAGGGTCAACCACATTGCTGTGGTTCTGGAGTCACATGGAGGCCAGAGCAGGTAAGGGTGACAGTTTCCTTCCCTGAAGGACATTAGTGAACCAGATGGATTTTTAACTAACCACTGAGCCACTGTGCCGCACCTGAAAGTGGAGTTGGCAGGTCCCTGCAGACCTTATATTCCTGCAGACCTTAAAGGCCCACAGGACTTCTGTTGGACACGACCTTGGACCCAGTCCTCTGCATGATCACACATGTCAACCCCCACCAACCAACCTTCCCCCTGACCCAAAATAACCAAAACCATTTTGACTCTTTTTGATGCTGCCCATGTCCTACCAAATAACGACTAGATTCCCTGCTAGGAATCTACAACCCAATAGCTCAATGAGTCAGGCAACTTGGGCCCATCTACAACCCAACAGCTCAATGAATCAGAGACAACAAGGTGCAGAGCTGGATGAACACAGCAGGCCAAGCAGCATCATAGGAGCAGAAAGGCTGACGTTTTGGGCCTAGACCCTTCATCAGAAAAAAAACTGCAGTTCCTACTATCTCTAGCTCAATGAATCAGGCAACTTGGGCCCATCCTTTTAGATGCTGAGATTATTCCCCACGCAGCTATATTTCTTAGGCTTATAGATTCTTTCCTTAAAATATAGCACCAAAGAAGAATATGTGGTCAAGCTCAACAGCAGTAAACATCAGCATGATTTCTTTTTACATCTGACAGCAGAAGCAAGTGAAGAAATTTATCTGCAAGTTAAAGGTAATAAACTGCAGCTAGTTGGACACATCTTTTTTAATGCATAAGTCCAAATCACATTCTTCTTGGCTAAATAACCTGATAAACTGGAAGGATTATTGCTCTATGCTTCCTAACCCAGAAAGAAAGCTGATAAATCTAGGAAGCAGTCTTGTACCCAAAGATACTGCGAACCTAATGGCTGCAGAATGACTGTTCTGTGGTTGTTTTGTACACCTGAAACAACATAAGCTGCTCCTTTGCATATGCTGGAGAGCTCCTGACGTACAGTGGTAGAAATTATCGGGTATCAGCTGTTCCTAGAGGACTACAGCTCTCCTTAAAGTCTGCTTTGTGGAAGATAAGAATGACAAATTACTCACTTCCACGCAGGGTGGTTCTTTGGAAATAGTGTCACAGCATTCTCTCCTAGAAAATAGTACAAGAGAAGCTATACTGGGAGTAGCAAATAATGAATAATTTGTGTCACACCTGAAGCCAAATTTTGGGAAAAAAAAAGTGCCAGACTTCAAATTAATTTTACAACAATACTTCACATAGCATCTCAATATTTCTTCATTGTATGATTGATGGACCATCACAAAGCGACCACACACATCATAGAATCCATACGGTGTAGAAGCAGGCCATTCAGCCCATCAATTCACACCGACCCTCTGAAGGGCATCCCACCCAGATCCACCCCCTTACTCTATCCCTATAACCATGGATAATTCACCTAGCCTGCACATCCCTGGGCACTATGGGCAATTTAGCATGGCCAATCCACCTAACCTGCACATCTTTGGACTGTGGGAGGAAACTGGAGCACCTGGAGGAAACCCACATAGACACAGGAACAACGTGCAAACTCCAGACAGTCACCTGAGGCTGGGATCAAACCCGGAGTCCCTGGTGTTGTGAGGCAGTAATGCTAAACAATGAGCCACCGTACTGTCTTGTGCCATCATGATCTATTACAAGACAAAAACCTTTTCACACAGAGAGGAAAATAGGACTGAGGAACAGAAGTAGACAATTTAGCCTGCTTCATCATTTAATAAGATCATAGCTGATCTACTTGTCGTGTCAGATCAATTTCCCATCTGCTTCCGAAACACTTGCTTTGCTTATCTACCAAAAATCTAACTCAGCCTTGAATAAATTTGAAGTCCCAGCCTACACTACTATCTGGGGAAAAGAATTCCACATTCCAATAATCCTCGGAGAGAAAATAAAAATTCTCCTCATCTCAGTTTAAGAGGTCTCACTTTTAAAACAATGTCCCTTCATTGTTGTCTCTCCTACAAGGGGAAACATTCTTTGGGTAGCCACCCTATCCAATGCCTCAAGAATTTTATGTTTCTGTAAGATCACTGCTTGTTCTGCTAAATTCTAATTGATATAGACCTAACTTGTTCAACCATTCTTTATAAGATAGGCCCTCTATTCCAGGAATGAGTCAGGTGAACCTTCTCTGAACTGTTTCTAACGCAGATCATTCATCTAAACTCACTGAGCTAGCTTACTGGTGGTTCAGGAATTTTCCAGTACCTCTGCAATTTGACACTATTTCTTTTCCTATCTTAGAATCTTGTTGCACGTTTTTATTTTGTTTTGTTTATTTCTGTTTTGTCGCAAGCGTAGAAAAGGAAAGGAAGTGGGTGGTGTTGCAGAACAGAGGAACCTAGGGGTTCAGGTACATAATTCTTTGAAGTTTGCGTCACATATAGACAGGGTCATTAAAAAGGCCTTTTAACACGCTTTTGCCTTCATTGCTTAGAGTACAGGAGTTGAGAAGTCATGTTGAAATTGTACAGGATATTGGTGAGGACTCTTCAAGAATACTGAGTCCAGTTCTGGTAACCCAGTTATAGGAAAGATACTATTAAGCTTGAGAGGACTCAGAAGAGATTTGCCAGCATGTTGCCAGGCATAGAAGGTTTAAGTCATAAACAAAGGCTGGATAGGCTGGGATTTGTTTCACTGCAGTGTAGGAGGTTGAGAAATGACCCTACAGAAGTTTATAAAATCATGAGGAGTATAAATAAAGTTAATGGCAATTGTCTTTACCCTAGGATGGGAGATTTCAAGACTAGGGGGCACATTTTTAAGGTGAGGGGAGAAAGATTTAAAAAGGACACAAGAGGCAAGATTTTTTACACAAGAGGGTGGTTTGCGTGTGGAATTGACTTCCTGAAGAAGTGATGAATGTGGGTACAATTACAACATTTAGAAGTCTTTTGGATAAGTTCATGAATAGGAAAGGTTTGGAGGGATATGGGTTAGCAGCAGGCAGGTGGAACTACTTTAGTTTGGAATTATGTTCGGCACAGACTGGTTGGACCGAAGGATCTGTTTCTGTGCTGTATGACTCTACAATTCTGTGAAGGCATTTTAAGTTCCAAATGAAAATCAGAAACAAAAAAATGAAACACACATATATCATGAACTGACCCAAAGTCTTGCTACAGCTTCGTGAGAGAGATGAGATGTAAACTTTCCAGACAACTCAGGGAAAGCACCATTGACTTAAAGTGCAAAAAACTTGTTGTGAAATAATTAAGTACACAAAAAATGTAAGAGGTACAAGCAGGCAAGAATCAAACAGCCGGTTGAAACTGCTCCACTATTCAATATAATCATTGTCCATCTTGAGCATCAACTCTACTTTCCATTGCCTTGATTTCCTGCGAGACCAGATGTCTAACTATCAACTATGGACCACCAAGAAAGTGGAGATGCAGTCAGTGCTGCAATTATTCCATTAAGTCTGCCCAAACTGAATATTTACATTGACATTGCTGTCATGAATGTAGAACAAAAGGATCAAAAGTAAAAACGTGAAAGGACGTGAAGTGTACACAATTTGCACTTGCTCAAAATAACCTTGAATTGATTTGAACAATGACTGTATATTGTATTAAATGAACTTCATTTTGCAATACAGCAGTTTCATATTGATTACCTGTATGACAGATTCTCCAGGCTTCATGTCAGTGTAAACATTTACTTTGTAAGAAATGTTCTGAAAAATTGGAGTGTTGTCATTCGCATCGATCACGAAGACATTGACAGTGACTGAAGTACTTTCTTGAACACCATCAGAAGCCGTCATCTTCAAGAAATAAAGAAAGAAATTCTTTAGGTGAGCATTCTAATATTTCAGGGACAAAAAAGCCTACAAAGTGTTTCTTTTTAAAACAGCTGTCACTTTATGTGCGTAAATGTAACACAACAGCAACCACTAAAATCCAGTGAATACTATCAAAGTGAACACAATCAAAACCAAATTACCATTTGATTAGATGAAAAGAAACAAAAAATCACAGCACCTAGTCTTCACTGACTATTTTGATTAGCTGTCTGTCCAATCATTTTTGGCATGGTCTGAGTTAAGGGCCAATGCAAAGTGGAGACTAGGTGCCAGTGTGGTCCTGATTGGAAGGTCTGTTATTCTGAACTTTTTATTTCTTTGTTTTTCAAACTCATTTACTCCTATATCCGTGATGCTGGACTTTTTTATTTGTTTATTTTCGAATGTTTTTCTTCCTTAAGAATTTGTACTTAAGGATCTGACCCCTGGTACCTTTATACCTAAGATGGCGCCATAAGCGGCAACTTGTAAACTTTTCACTGCACTCATTTGTGTACTTATGACAATAAAGCTAATTCTAATTCGAATTTCCATTCAAGGTGCTTATTGTCTACAAAGAAGCATGCAGTATACCGTAAAAGTGTAATTCTGCTGACGTTCCCGGTCAACTGGCTCACGTAAAGTCAGATAGCGGGTTATTCCGAAAGGAGTTACGGTAAATGCTGTAACAAAGTCGCTCAGCGAAATTCGCAGCTTTGGGTCTTTCGTCTGGAGAGAAGCAAAAGTGAATGAGAATGAAAGTGAACATCAGAAATGTTATTTCTCTTAGCAAGTTTTATGTTCTGATTACTAGCGTTGGAATGTACAACATTAACTGTGAATATTTTATTAACACAGCTAATGGTGTTGCATTAGTTTGCACCTCTGTGCAGCTTGCTGTGCAGCAATGAATCTTCAGCTATTATTATCTGGTTTGTTTCTTTCTGGTCCAATTCTTTAATATGGGTATTTTACCCTGATAAAGGAAACATAATGAGCAACAGCATGGGAAGGAAAGACTTGACTTGAATTATTTCAGTGTAGCTGCTTCCATAAAATGTATTCGTTCCCATTCAGTCAGTTGCAAATGACTGATTATAAACTTAAACAAGCCATCGCCAACAACAAATTGATCAGAATAAATAAGCAGATTTAACACTAGTGGGGTAATTTTCGAGGTTTCGATAGTCAATGACCAAGGTACACAGACTTAGAAGTTTCCAGTGTTCCTCCTTGGCCGAGTTAGTCACTGAAGGCACCATAGTGGGAGATACCACCTTGGGTTAGGCAAAATAATACTCAGTCAGAGATCTGATTCTGACTGTTACTTGAACTGGAAATGTGGATAAATAGAAGTGTGGTAAGGGCAGGATTTGGCTTGATTGTGAATGCTGCTTGGTCAACTGATGACTAGCAAGGCTGACGTATGAATGAAGGTCAATAAAAAGGCAGCAGAGAACAGTTAGTGCCTATAGACTATCAAGTGAACAAGACTTTTAAAAGAAGGAGGATTGGCAAGAAATGGGCCCTTAGAAAAATAAGACTTCAAACAAAAACTGTCTGGTGAACTTACTGGAATTTGCAGAAGTAGCAAAATGCATTTCATCTCTTTAAAGTACCTGGACACTCTTTATCCAGTAGCTGCTCAGTTACAAATACTGTTTAAGAGCCAGGCATGGAAAGTAATAATTCTAATCTAAATGATTCTTACAAACAAGCATTATTACTTTAAGGGTGTACAGGCAGGAATATCAATAACTTTTCCATTAAAAAGCTGCTGATTAACTGGTTACAGAGTTCTGGAGATCCTTTGAAAAGAGACCAGAATAATTTTTCTGAAAGAAAGATACTACATAATGGGATCAAAAGAATTGGACTCTATAAATCAGAACAGGTTATACATCCTGAATAAATGTTTAGAGCGAACATGACTGATTCAAATGCGCAGCACTTGAAAGCACATCAAGCACTCAACCACTTTAACAACTATAAATATCGCTCCAATTATCTGCCTTTTCACTTCTGCTGAAGACAGTGTTTCACCTTAGGGAACAATTCCTTGACCACTCTCAATTGGTAAGCAACCAGTTCTTGTGTGTCAGCTTAAACAGTGCCTGTCAACGGGGATCTCAATGATCGGAAGTGTAAAAGCGTGTCTGATTCTATCTTCATCTGATATCTGCAAATGTCAAGGACCACTGACTCGCAATGTATAGAAACTGTGTTTTACTTTTTCTTTGCTTCTCCTGAAGCTGAAAGACACTATTGCTATTTCGGTTCACCACAATTTGGGATTATTCACCTCTCCCTCTAGTGGTGCTCAATACTGACATTATCTAAGTAGATTGGTATCCATGACTTACAACAAATTCACTCATCCAATATTTAAGGAAACTAATATTTCAAAGAAACTATTCATATCCTATGAAGTGAGTTGCACTCTTACTTCACGTTACATAATTTCACACTTAGTTTTTTGTTGAAATTTCTCACCTTGCACCCATGAGGACAATGCAGAAGAAATACCATTTCAAAGGGAAGCCCAACAAATATATGCATGGAAGGATAGAGCTGATTGGTTGACAAATGGACTCTCATTGGTAGAGGCATTGCCATGGAGAGTATACGCATTAATAAACTGAGCCCAACACAACAAGTAGCATTAGAAATGAGTCCACACAGTGTGGAGCTGGAGGAACACAGCAGGTCGGGCAGCATCAGAGGAACAGGAGAGTCGATGTTTCAGGCTTAGACCCTTCTTCAGGACTAGGGAGGGGGAAGGGAGCTGGGAAATAAATAGAGGAAAGAGAGGTGCGGTTGGGGGAAGGTAGGTGGGATAGTGATAGATGGATATAGGTAGGCGTAGTGGGGATTGATCAGTGGGAAGGGTGGGGTGGATAAGTGGGAGAGAAGAGGGAGTGGGAGGGGGAGTTAAAACAGTTTGGATCTGGAAGCTCTTGTTGATTATAGTGTAAGGAGAGCAGGTGCTCCGCAAATCGGTCATCAAGTCTGTGCTTGGTCTCACCGATGTAGAGGAGGCCACATCGGAAGCAACGGATACAGTATACCAGGTTGGAGGATGCACAGGTAAACCCGATTATAGCGTACAGGTTCATCTGTACATCCTCCAACCTGGTATGCTGTATCGTCTGTAGCATCCTCTACATCGGTGAGACCAAACACAGACTCGATGACCGATTTGCGGAGCATCTGCGCTCTGTACATGATAATTAACACCACCTCTCGGTCGCTAACCATTTTAACTCCCCTTCCCATTCCCTGGGTGACATGTCCATCCTGGGCCTCCTCCAGTGCCACAATGAGGCCACACACAAACTGGAGGAGTAGCACCTCATATTCCACCTCGGGAGCCTACAGCCTGATGGCCTGAACATAGTATTCACCAGTTTTAAAATCTCCCCAACCCCGGCCCCATCCCACGTCCAACCCTCCCTCTCATCCCCGCTTCCCTTGACCGGACACAGCCTGCCCATCTCCTTCCCCACCTATCTACCCACCACCCTTCCCACTGACCAATCCCCACTATCCCTACCTGCATCCACCTATCACCATCCCAATGACCTTCCCCCAGCCCCACCTCACTTTCCTCTGTTTATTTCCAGCTCCCTTCCCCCTCCCCAGTCCTGATGAAGGTCTAGGCCCAAAACCTCGACTCCCCTGCTCCTCTGATGCTGCCTGGCCTGCTGTGTTCCTCCAGCTCCACACTGTACCGACTCTGACTCCAGCATCTGCAGTTCTTGGTAACTCCGAACGTTAGAAATGAGTCACTTCGTATGAAATCTCACAGGAGTCCCATCGGTCCCCTGGAGATACATGCTGCCAGCTCCAGGGAGAAGCCACCAAACCACACGCCAATCAGATGGGTGAGGTGGCTGACACGCCCTTCCCTGAAATCAAAACAGGCCTATGCCAGAAGAGCTGCTGACCAATCAGACGAAGCTGTGGCTGCTGACTGAAGATTCACCCCTTGTGTCCCCGGGAAGCAAGGACAGAGGTAAGTAATGAGTGTGTGGATAATTCAGAAGCAAAGGACAGCAAGCCTTTGGATTAGACACTGTTTGCCTTTGACTGTGGAAACCCCCCAACACTTCCCTGCTCCCAGTCAAAGTAAGAAGCTTCCCACAATGTAGTAGCTATTGGGAAGACTGTATGATTGTAGCTGGGTTAATTCCACAGGGCTCCTAATTGGCTACTTAAGGGCTTCAAAGGGGTGGTAGCATATTGGTAACATTAAGACACTAATAACCCAGAAACACAGGCAAATGTTCCGGGAACATTGTTTCAAATCCCACCATGCCAGATAGAGAAATCTGAATTCAAAATGATCTGGAATTTAAAAAAAACTAGCCTAAATGGCAACCATCATTGTTTAAAAACAAAAATCACGAATGTCCCTTAGGGAAGGAAATTTGCTATCCTTACCTAGTCTGGCCTACGTGTGACTCCAAACCCACAACAATGTGTTTGACTCTTGACTGCCCCATGGACAAGAACCACATTGCATTAACAAATGGAGAAGAAAATTGTGGTGAGACAGTAATTAAGTTTCATTCTACCTCCAAGCTTGCCACCTTTAGAACTAATTACAGGATGTTCTGTCTCTAACAGAACAATTACAGCAACCGTACTTGTGCTTTGCCTGAAAATAACATTTTCTTGAAGTTTTTCATCTTTCATCATTGTCCTGATGAGTGCAACATAAAAGGCTTCAACAAAATATGCTTTTTTTTCAGTAATATTCAAGTTCTATACTACCAAACCACTATTTGCACAGCAACAGTCTTTAATGATATTTTCAAATCCCTTAAAAAGACAGTTAACAAAACATATTAACGCGATAAATAAAGACACAGAAAATCATAGCAAAAGGTACAAGGGTGGCATTTGATGTAAATGGGAGCAGAGAGCTCCAGCATCACTGCACACATTTCAGCTACGTACCACTCTTATTCGAGTAGAAATTGTTCTGTCTATTTTCATCTCTGGAGAGGTGTGAAGTAGGAGGAAGTAAAGAAGAGGGCGAGGGTGAAGAAGAGGATGACGGCCGAAGAAAAGGACAAGGGTAAAGAAGATATCACCATTGAGAAATGTATTTTTTAAAACCTTCCTGGAGCTGGAGTGTTGTTGGCAGGCCCAGCATTTATTGCCAATCCCTAACAACCCTTGAAAAAATACGAGAATGCCACCTTCTTGAAACATTTCAGTGGTGTTCCAAAAAGTACACCCATAATGCTGTGATGCTCCTGGAGTTTGACACAGAAATGGTAAAGGATTATCACTTCATTTCCAATGGTCAGGATGGTGTGTGCCTGTTGCCCTTGTTCTTTAGGGGGTACAAGCCTTGGGTTTGGAAAGTGCTGTAGCAGAAACACTGGCAAGTTGTTGCTGTTCATCTTGTAGCATCCATAGTGTGCCAATGATTGTGCCAATGAAGCAGATTGTTTTGTCTTGGATGGTGATGAGATTTTTAAGCATTGTTGGGGTTGTACTCACTCAGGAAAGCACAGAATTCTTGATTTCACATCCTGACTTGAGGTTTTTAAAGAGTTAGAAGGCTTTGGACAGTCACAAAATACCCAACTCAAATCTATGGTTTTAGCTACAGCATTTATGTGCCTGATTCAGTTCAGTTCAGTTTCGTTTCAGGTCAATGCTAATTTGGAGAATGTCAATAGTAAGGATTTCAGCTCAAGATGTTGTGTGGTGTC